AAAGTGACTGTAGCAGGGATGTCACATGACTCCTTTCTCATTTTGTTGATTTCTGGCCAAAAGGTGGAAGGATCCTTGAATTTGCGAAAAATATCCTCCTGCTTTGTTTTTCTTTCTTTTCGAAGAGTTTCTGTTACTTCATTGCGTAGTACATATGTTTTAGATTCCGAATATGACATTCTTGACATGACATTGTTTTTTCATAGAAGTATGATGGTTACACTTGCTAAATACTAGCGAATTTTTTCTTTTTTTTTTCAGCGTTTCTAAGCAGGTGAAACAGTTGGCTTTATCTCTTCATACAAAAAACTAGATAGGTTTGCAAAGTTGCATGCTACCATACCCTAGTAGGAGCATTTGACACAACCGTATTGTACATAGCTTTAACTTCAAAATCAATCAAATACCACTCTCATACTCAGTTGTCAACGGCCAATCAGCAAAAATTGTTTTGAAAAAGTTTGCGCAACAAAAACGAAAATAATTTGAATTTTTTCTAACGTGAACCATTTTTTAGCCCACAGGATCTTTTTTTCCCAATTTGCAGCGTTATAAGCAAGGGGGGAAAGGCGATTTTTTCTTTCTTAGCATCGGAGAGCATCGCGTAGCATCGGAGAGTATCCGATGCCAAGCATCTCAAGCTTCGGAAAGCATTTTATGGGCTCCGGAAAGCTCCGGGAGCCGCCTTTTCCGCCTAGGTTATAAGGCTATAAAACATGCTTTTTCTTAAATTATGGTATTACAATGCTATAGATTTATCTCATTGCAACGCAATAGGCGTAGCCCGTCGTATTATAACGCGTTGCAAAGTTATTTTTCAGGAATTTATGGCGTTGTAACTGGATAAAAATTTTCATTGCATTACAACTCTATAAATTTATAGTATTATAATGCGTTTCATTTTTTTATCTCGTTACAACGCAATTTAGATTTGGAAAAATCACTTCAATTATATCAGACATATACGTTACCGACTTGAGACTTAGGACATAAACTCCCACATCACACTTATTACTACTGTCACATATAGCGTCACAGCGCGTGAACAATTAATGTATTATAATGCCATAAATTTATAACGTTATAATGTGTTAGATATTATAGCGGTATGATACATTAATCTGCGTTGCAACTTGCAACGCGTTACGCTAATGCGTTATAATGCATTAAAGTTTTGTCTAAATTTATTTTGTTATAACACAATAGAAAAGTTAACACTGTACAAGACATTACGATATACCTGACGCATTATAAAGCAATAAATACGAAAAAAAGATCCTGTGGGCGACTCTTTGAACTTTTTTAATTTTTCTCACTTAAAAAGTCATGCAAAAAAATTAAAAACCACATATTCATGATCAGTTTATCAAATTCTATCCAACGATGTATAAATAAAAATAAACTAAAATCCACTTGATTTTTGCATTATTGGCACCTTATATATTTGTATAATATCTTCTTCTCTACACATACGCATATATAAAATTTTCTACTCTACAAGAAAACATGTTATCATCTTCAAGACCAACTGTTAATGATAATCATTTGAAATTATCATCAATTAATCTAATTCAACATCAACGTGGTGCTGAGTCATTATTAAAACCAATTAATGAAGAAGAAATTAGTCGTTTGATGCGAGAATATTTAAAGAACGATTCAATGCAGAAGAAAATTATTGAAATAGTCAAAAATAATGATGATGACGTTGGAAAGTCACAGAAACGTTTATAATTCATTACGTTCAAAATTGAGTGATGAATCTAAGCATTTGGTTTATATGATGAATGGTCATGTTTTGTATAAGATAAATTTAAATGAAAAACCTAAACTAATTTTGAAAGAGCAAGATATTAATATTGTTATTCGATCATTTTCGCCTCGGTAAAATGAACAAGAATTAGCTGATTGAGTGTAAAAGGTCACCATATGTTTGAAATCAGGGGCAGCATGGCTGTATTGGCAGCATGGCTGTATTAGCTAATGGCTAGAACAACGTATTTACAAGTGCCGCGTTCGAATCCATCTAGACGACAGCAGCTATGTAATGGCCTTGGGCAAGCTATTCATGTTCATTGCCTCAGACCGTGACCTATAGATGAATGTAATGGGGCTTGCCTCGATTTCCAGCTGGTCACGTGCTCTGGGTTTAAAAAAAAAAAAAAAATCAGGGATATATCAAAAGCAGTTATCTTTTCATTGTTTGTTTGTTCGTTTTCTTACTTTTCTTCGCCTTTCAGTCTAAGTTGCTCTTGATTCTTTCTTTTACCGTCGCGTAATGCCAAACTTTTGACGCTTTATATGCGAGAATGTGTATAGTTGAAGTTAGCATTGTTACAGTATATATGCCACATACGGATGTTCGGTTTTCGATTCTGGAACCTAAATGGCGGTTCCGATTCTCGAGTTAGAACCAAACGAAAGGAACCGCGGTTCTCGGTTCTCACCTTAGAACAGGAAAATAATTTTTCCAGCAGCAACAATTCAATGAAATAGAATCTACTTTATAGTAAACGAAAGGATTTCTGTAAATGATGACAGGCAAACATATCTTTTCGTAGCTTTGTCAGTAGTGTATGTTCGTTTTGTTAAAAGAAAGGCACGTCAAAAAGTCTCGGTTCTGAAAAAAAGGAACCGTCTAAGAAACTGCGGTTCCGGTTCCAGATAAAGAACCGGAAATAAGAGAACCCCGGTTCCGATTTTTCCTGAGAACCGAACATCCCTAACGTGACATGTTCACAGGCGACGATAAAAATTCATCATCTTTTTTCTTCTCGTTCGTTTGTATCTAGCCTTATCAGCAAGATATACATCCTTCTTATCAGATCATTTGACCGTTATTCTTCGATTTACCGTTCAATAATATTTTTTTCTTATTTGAAAAATGTCAAATATTAATAATAATACATGGATCAATGATTGTTGTTTTTTAATTAATACATGTAGTTTATGCGTTCTCTAGCTCTCTCTCAAATATGTAGTGTATCACCAGAAAATTTGCTTATGAGACAACGATCTCTCATTGCAGTGAGAACCGAACAAAACTAATAGCTGATATGTACAGTGATCTGAAAAAAGCATATGAGTGGTCCTTGAAATGGCAACTGTCTCTAAATATTGACAAATGCTTTTGTATGCTGGTAGAGAGGTGTTGTTTGATCGCTGGATTGTTGATTAGGATTAGTTTCATGCTATAGCAAATAGAAAACAATTTCATCATGAGCATGATGAGACGTGATCCAGAGAGATGGCGAGCCATTTATGTCTCTAATACCGACATCGGCACCACTGAGCATTAATAATCGAAAAAACCGTATCCGGAATAATTTTTCCATGGGACGACAGAGGGTCTTTCCATACCTTTAGTAGAACTATCCATTGCATACAGTCAAACCCTCCCGGCTTTAAGTCGTGCGTAGAGTAGGCCGACCTGTATGGAAGTACCCCATTGACAATATAATCTTTCAGTTCTATTAATGAGTTTTGCAAAACAGCGTCATGTAAAGCAGTTAGACTGTTTTGGCGTTTATAACCATCAACCATAGTAATTCTGTTTCTAGTCAACTCTGTACTTTAGTTTAAGTAATACAAAAATGCGTTCATGTGCACTGTTTTATATTCACAAGGAACATTATCTACTTCTATGCATTTTTCACAGCGTGTACACGCTGAATTATACTGATTTCAAACCTCATGTTTAATTAAATAAATTTAAACGAAGTTAGCGGCCAAAAATAATGAACCCGTTTATTAATGAAGTCCTACTATCAAAAAAAAAACTAAATAAAAGAAACGTGTGGTAGAAAAAGAAAAGAGTGAAATAGATCATCGCCGGTAGACTTTACAAATAAATTTATTTTTCTTTGTTTAACTTTTCCTGCGACGAAGATGATGTCACTTCAGCATTTATTTCATAAACAAAGGCTTCATTTCATTTCGTTTCTTTTTGCCTGTTCGCGAGATTTATACTCTTCTGACAAAACAAACAGAAAGTTTATTCTTCCATGCTGCTTTTGTTGACTGTAATTTTGCTGTTATCTTCATCTCCTTATACAACAAACACTGCAGGGAACGGTGCTCAGTTAACATGAAACTAAGGTAAAACCTCTAGTTCTACATTGTAACTCAAGTATTAATCGTTAACTGAGTTTTAACTATTTCAACTTTTTATCAAAATCTGTTGGCAGCGAACTTCTGAAAAATACTTCTAAACTTTAAAGAATAGAACTTTTTATTTCCTTCATCATCAAATAATCATCTGTAAAATAATTCTCTATATTGTTCATTCCATCATCCAACAAACTACTCTATCATATCGTCTATATTTTTTTTTATTAAGAGTGTCCTTCCCCACCACAAAAATCAATCTTTTTATGAGCTAAACATGACTCGTGACCGACGAAATAAGACCACTCTCAGATCTTTACGACATGTTGTTTAAGAAATGTGAGTCTTCTATAATTCGTCATTTTAAACAAAAGATCTATTATTTACCGTACGATAATTCATTTTTTGTTTCTTTCAGTGTTTTAAAATGTTTCCCAGTAGTTCAGTCTTGCACAGCAAAACGTTCTCTACGATATAAATGAGAAATCGTTCAGCTATTATTAATTTCGATCGTAGCTAACTAGTTTTTTTGCTACATGATGTCATATTAGAATTCTCTCTCAAATTCCATCCGATCGAGATCATTATTTTACCGGAGATACTCAAAATTGTATCTTGGGTAACACACCAATTCTAGAATTGGTTTTTTGGTGCATCTTCGGAAATAACTATATCTCTCAAATCATTTCTTACCAATTTCTATCGACAATGCAGGATTGTACCGTCGACTTTTTTCTACAAAACAGGCTATTTGAAAATTTTGCGGCACATTAGATTAATCGTTATAACCTATTTTTAAAAAGTGAAATTGAAATTAGAATTCGTGGGGAATTGGTTAATATTTTTCTTGTTTTCGCCTTCTCAAATGCACATACAAATTTCATTATATCTCATTTTGTAACGAAAAACCTGCCGAACAATCTGATGTATCAAAAAAACATGTAAAACAAATAGTCTTAGAACTAGTAATTTTTTCCAATGATCTTCAAAAAAGAATTCGTGCATGCCTACTCAAGACAATAGCGCAACGTTTTATTTCGGGAATTTTAAGATTTATCCTGATTGGTTTTAGAAAACGAAAAACCTGACTCTTTTTAAAGGTTTTTAACATTGTCTACATAATTCGACAATGAAGTGTTAAAAGTAAGATTACTCTACAATAGTGACTCGAGCACCATTACTAAGATTTGCGTTTGAACAGTTGAAGTTGGGGGAGGATCGTGACGAAACAGAAAGTCGATTTTTCAAGAAAAGCTTCTAAACAGTAATAGCAAGAAACTTGAAATAAAAGCAGAAAAAAAGCTACATTAAATTCATCAGCCTTGGAAATACGAAGAGTCATTTTAGGTTTCATTTGTTAGCATTTCTGTGGGAATTCAAAAGCAAACAGAGAAGTATCTTTAACCCTTTCCGGTCATGTGTCGGACGGTATCCGACATCGTAAATTTTCAGTTCTTATATTGAGCCTAATATATCGAGGGAACTTTATAGTATTAATANAATTAAGCATAGAATTCTCTTTTGGAGAGACCTTTTTCAATCAATCGTATGATATAAACAGTAACATTGAAAACGAAGAGAGAAAACAAGGTCAACATTTTCGTTGCCATTTTGACGTCTGACGGCAATGCCAACACTAGAAAAAAAATAACTGAAAGTCTTCTTAGTGTTTGAATAATCTGAATATGTTCGTTAGCTGAAAGTTTTTCGCGGATATATAGTCACCAATGTTGACCTTTTTTTCTCTCTTCCTTTTCAATGTTACTGTTTATATCATACGATTGATTGAAAAAGGTCTCTCCAAAAGAGAATTCTATGCTTAATTTATTTAACTGCATTTTAAGATCTGATATTAATACTATAAAGTTCCCTCGATATATTAGGCTCAATATAAGAACTGAAAATTTACGATGTCGGATACCGTCCGACACATGACCGGAAAGGGTTAATATTGAAAGCAGCACGTAGATTCGAAACTTGTCGAAAAATCGATGTATCCAATGAAACAAAACTACTGTGTTAAGTTAAAAATTCACTATTTCCTGTCTGTGATTGATTTATTATCCAGACGTAATGGAATGATGGCAATGATTGCCGTAGCTGTTTATCCTTGTTTCAAAAGCTCTTCTTATCTATAATGTACGACAAAAGAAAGAACTCCCAGTACAAACGTTTTCTCCTTCTAAAAAACATTTACCAATATAAAGAATGCTTTGCGAGAAAGAAAACGAGAAGGGATGATGTTATTTTCGTACATCAATTTAATGAATATGCTCATCTTTTTCATTTAAATTAATATGATTTAAACTTATAATTTAAGGACTTTTATTGATTACATGTTTATCCAAATGATGCAATTAGTTCATTGTCGAAAACGGTTTAGTACAGTTTGTATGTATGTGGTACTACTAATGATCTTTATCATTAGCTGTACGACAGGTAAATTAACTTTTTTCGACTCTTTTCCGTATAATGGCAGGTATTCTTTTAGTGGGAAAGGTGTGCCAATGCAAGTGTGGTCAATTGGTGACTGTTCCAGTGACGATAGCCTACTTTAGCACGACCGTTATGCCAATTCCGAATATTTCTACTAAAACAAAACTCATCCATAGGAATAAGACACTGCTAGATATAATAAATGCCCCATTCGTCTTAGATGATAATAGCAATGTATTTCAGAAAAGTACCGATAGATCATTGACACATGAAATGCGCGTTGATTTTCTAAATAAAAAGTGTTCAACAAATGGACAACTACAATCGTTCGTACATATGAAAAAATATTATACTCTTAATCATCTTGTATTTACATTACGTAGTAAAAACTTATTCTATTGTTCTGTGCCAAAAGTAGCCACCAAGACGCTACTGAATTTGTTTACCTATCTGCACACAGAAGAACTTATTGCCTATATTAGCAATAGTTCTACAATCCAGAATGAATTAATCAAGAATGAATTTCCAAAACAGCGATCATTGTTCAATTCACGTTTTTTACAAAACAAGTTGACATTAAATAGTGTCACGAACAACGATAATGGACAGGTAAGAAGACAAGTCATTAAATAACCGCACAATGTGCTCGTTCTTTATATAAATACAAGTAAATAATTCAACGTATACACACGAGCATTTTAATTTAAAATGATTTGACTGAGAAAAGTAGATTTATTTTCTTTTGCTGTTCCTTTAGAGAAAGAGAAAGAGCAAACAAAATTTCAGGTTACTTCGTTCAATCTTTTTCTCAACTCATTCCATTGCGACTTTGAAAGAGAAAAGAATATTCATTATACTTCATATTCTCTGCCGCCATCATATAGTAATTTTCACCACATTGATTCAAATACGAGCTCTTTTCGATGAAGATTTGACTTTAATGTACTTTTACCATTTTTCTCTTTCACGCGTCTAATTGTATGCACTCTTTCCTTTGAAATAATGCGAATACTTTTTTATAGAATGTTCAGCTGCGTGTGTTGAATGCATTTAAACAAAATTTACTAAATTATTCTAAGGAACCGGAAGATTTATGGCATTTGCATCAGAAAAAGGTATTACCACTTATTAAACTTGAAAGTATCGATGATCTTCACATAACAAATTTCATTAACGCTGCTACGAAAGTACTGTTTGTTCGTCATCCATTTAACCGTTTAGCATCCGCTTATTATGATAAAATAGCTACATTGAGAATTCCACCAGTTCAAGATGCAAGGAATATTCAGGTATCCCTGTATGATGATATACGTCGAGCAATATGTCGAAAATTTGCTCAACAATATTTAAGTATAAATGAGTTAACATATTACCATGGTCAATATCGGTGGGTACGTCCTCAATCTAAAATTAATAAGTTCGATGAGCCATGTAGAACTGTTATACCAAGATTTGAACATTTCGTTGAGTATATTCTCGATTATCATTCCATTGGACAGTTAGATGTTCATTGGGCTCCATATTATCATCTTTGCAAAGTATGTACATTAAAATATAATTTTATTGGAAAATATGAAACGATTGCAGATGATATTCAGTTGTTACTCAAATTAGTGGGAACAAACTCACAAGAATGGCAAATGAAAATGATCAGTAGTAATAGATCAACGGTGATAAAAGATAAAGTGTACAAAAAACTATATGAAACTCTTCCAGAACATCTTATATGTAAACTTCAGCAGACTTATTCAAAAGATTTGAGTTTGTTTAATTATAATATTGAAGATTACGTGGATCGAGCGAAACTGTCAAATTGCCAGATGCGCTATCAGTCTAAGAATTATACTGGGACGTTTCAGGCTTGAATATTTGTTGTTAATAACTGTTGTTAAATTTTTGTATTTATCAATTGTGTATGTTAAATTTTATAGTGGATATTCAGATTTGCAGACATCAAAAATGCTCAGATGCGTTGGAAAAAACAGTCCGCAATGCCATAATCCACATAACAAACTTCCAACATGTTGATGACGTAGTAGATAGTACTCTCAAGTGCCATCGTGTAAAATTCTGATGCAGGACCTTTCTGGCCGACCTTTCAAGATTTTAACGGTACAAAAATAGGGAGAAACAAATAAATGAAGATGAGAATGCAGGGGAAGATATTTCAACAGATATGAATAAAACCCAGGTAATTGAATCGTACTATCCGATCGTACAAGATCGTAAACGAAGCTTACGAAATCATATACGATTATGTACGATTTACATACGAATCGTGGTATCTGATTTGTCATGTGGTTCGTACTATACGATTTCATACGAAGTTGTATAATCGTATAGGATCTTGTACGATCGTATTATACGATCCAGAGAACAAAGCAGATACCACGATTCACATATGATTTTCATACGATTTGGTGCTATTTCGCCTGATTCAGATACGATCATATACGATGTGGTTGACCTGGGAAAGTATTCTTGTTTACATTTGCATTTAAAAATAAAAAATTCTTGTAACATTTTTCACATGCTTGAGGAAGTAAATAATGAAAGTATGAATCACCTTCAAAAAGTTTCAGGATAGTCACCCAGGATCATAACCTCTTCTATGTCGTAGTTGAGAATCGATTCCCGCGCGCCAGGAAACACATCTCTCCAATAAAGAAGTGGTATACACATATCGTTTTGATCTGAAAACCTCCTTAACACTACTTTCTTTCCGCAACCCACCCTCTCTAAAGACATTCCTGTTCAAACATTAATTCGCTATCCGTCGTATCTGATAACGCAGTAAAATACTTCTTTCAATACCTCAAGCATCTGTCCTCCAAGATATTTTATTAAACACAAAAGAAAAGGAGTTATCGCGCCACTGTAGGCAAAATAACACTCGTTTTAAGCACGTATAATAGAAATTATTTAAATCTTGTTGTTGCTTAGCTGTAAATACAGGAAGAACATAAGAGAGAAACAACACTTTTCTTAAGAAAGGACAAGTAGCACCAGCAAATCGAAAAGCATTGATCATTTCGATACGTTATCTATAGACAACATAATGAAAACGTTAATAAAAAAAGCATGATAAAAATTATAATTTTTATCATGCT